CCTTGATCTACCCTTAATAGGGTCCTAATAGGGAATTTTAGGGTCTAATAGCCCATTCTGGGACCAGCTACTGCAACAGCTCCACCTAATACAAAGGCCGGGATCATGACCAATGCCTCTTCAAGGTTTAAGGTTTGCTGCCTATACTCGACACCCCCTAAACCCTAAACCCCTAAACCCTTAACCCCTGAACCCCTAACACCATAGCTAATCTAGATCCCAAACTCCGAACTGAGGACGGTCTGAAGCGCTCATTTAAACCTTGGAGCATTAATTTGACCTGTCAGCCCAAGCCCTAATAGCAGCAATAAAAGTAATAGTAGTAATAAAAGTAATACTAATAACAGTGATTCGTAATAATAGTAATAAAAATTGTAACCCTGAACCCTTAACTAAACCCAAAGCTAGCCTGAGGGCGTGGGAGAGACACCCCTCACCAAGCGAGTTTCACTGCGACCGGTCCACATGTGCCGGCTCATTTTGTTCAATTGTCAGTCTGGGGTTGCTGGTTCCCTGAACCCTGCACCCGAAACCCACAAACCCTAACCCCCTACTAGGACCACAGAACGGATGAAGAAGGATGCCTAAAAACTAGCAAGCACCTATCGTAGACCCCCGGATTTTCATTCCATGTTCAATTCTCTTGTCCATTTGATTCTCCGTTTTGGGGGTCATATGCTATACCGAGACTCGAAGACTCACTTTTTGGCCGGCTGTGAAGTTTGCGTCTTCGGCTCAGTGCTTCAGGGATCAGATCACTTTCCAAGAAAAGTGAGCCCGAGATAAGAACAGCTGAAAACAAGCCAAAGTTCATGAAAGTGAGTTGCGGTTTACGGTGTAGGGTTTAGGGTTGAGCAAGGTCAGAAACTTCAAAACTCTCATAACGTCGTTGTTGGGAAAGAATGCTCTGAGGAGAATCTCTGGCATGAGGCATTAACTGGAGGGCGGCGGTGCCACTTCCCTCCCCCGTTGTTAACCCCTGTCCTAGCAGTACACCACCTCCAACGCTTAGTGTCAGTTCTTCCCTATAACAAACTCCATTTAGGGAGGCATGTTTAATTCTCGGCGGGTGAGTGGTGTGGAATGTTTGATATTAGGGAAATGTTTTTCAGGAAGAGGGATCCATCCTTCGCTGGCTGCACGGATATAGACAAAGGGAGCATTTGGGTCTTGATTTTCGGGTCGCATTGGGGTCACTTGGAGAAAAACCCACCTGACGATTGATCCTCATCCCAACCATTTTTCAAGAGTCCCCTAGCGCTGGGGCCTGAAGGCGTAGAGGAATGTTTTCGGGCAGAGTATACTGAAGATCCATCCCTACACCCTAAACCCTAAACCAGCATAAGGGGATCATCCTCACTTCTTTCAGCCACTGATGATGTGTGTTTGTGAGCTGCCAGACAAAAGTCGCAGTTCCAGGAAAACGCAATTTGGGCTGGCTACTCCCCCTACCATGAAGCACATCGTGACACTGGGCAAGAGGCGTGTCCCAAGACTGTCCTCATCTAGACGGATGAGACCTGGAAAAATCCTACACAGGTCTTTGGATAATGCATCTGACATCCCAAAAAAAACACAAGCCCTGAAGACCTTCAGTGGCGTCTCTTTCATCAGAATTCACATCCAAAGTGCTAGAAAAACTCACCTAATCCCAAAACCCTTAAGGTAGGGAGAGCGCCCAAAGTTCAGGTGCAGTTCTGGTGCCCAGCTCTTCAGGGCTGTGCCGGCTCCACACTCAGACTGCCGGAGGACCTGGGGGGGGCTTCAAAACTGAGATCCCCCTTGCGGGGAGCTGCCTATAATCTAAAGACCCTCAACCCCAGACCCTTAGACTCTAAACAAGGGTATGTACGGAGGGTTCTAGATTTTGTGGAAGCCTCCAGGCAGGTCTAGAGCTTCGGATCGGGGTTTGCCGCTTGGGCTTAACCTAAAGTGACCCCTGTTTTGAGAAACAATTTCTACGACATTCAGAGCCAGGGGTCTGTGGTAATGAAAGTAATTGGGAACCCCAAAACCCACAACAAGAACCCTCTGGCAGTCACATGAAAGTGATGGGGTCCTCGTGTTGCGGGCATGCCCGTTAACGATTGTGGCAGTCTAGGATGGAACGTTAGGATCCACGGCCCAGGCGTTTGCCCTGAAGACTTGAGACTGAGGGTTAAGGTATCCCCGTAAGTTTTGACAAAACTGGCGGTGTGCGGGGATGGTGAAATTCCTGGATATGCTCAGAGTTTGAGATGTTAAAACCTAGCAACATGCTCTTTGTGACTCATTGAACTACTAGTTTACGGCATGCTATCGATCCTGTGATCCTGTGATCTCACCACCGCCAACGCCACCACCGCCCCCCCGCCTCCACCACCACCACAACGACCTGAGCGGACGAGCTCCTTAAGAAAAATGGTGCTGCTTCAGAACTAGGCGCATGGAGAAGAGGTGGGTGTAGAGAGGGAAGCTGGCGTAGATCAGGGCGATGAAGAAGGTGAAGACGTAGCCCATGTGGATGGCTCTGCTGTGGTATTTCTTGGGGATCTCCAAGGCTGGGGCTGGCACGACCTTCTGCCATCCCAGGCACATGTGCACGCTAAAGACGATCACAGCCGCGAGGTAGAAGAGCACCCAGCCCAAAGACTGGAAGATCTCGAACTCCATGCGGTAGATGTCGCGCACGTACACGGCCTGGCAGCCGGGGTCATCGACCCAGAAGAGGTTCAGCCTGAGGTGGAGCAGCGTCTTCCTGAGTCGCACATGCTGTATCTCGGGCCTGGGAAATGCAACTGCAATGCAGATTCTTGATCTTTCATACCATGGTGGAGTTGTCTCGAGGATATGTGTATATATGAATATACGCATATTCACATATATGCATACATAATATGCACATGCATGCTTATTATATATCATATATACATATATATATGTATACGTATATGTATATCGATTTTCAATTCGGCACTGCAGGTCCAGTTCGCAATAGCTGTTTTCCTAAGGTCTACCAATTCAGTCTAGCAAGAGAGTCTGCATCCAAACAACCACTGTATTTTTCAGGCATCCCTACTTAGGTTGTTGGCCCCAGGCGGAGCCAGGTCAAAGACTGTTCGCGATGCGCCACCCTTCTTCTACACCAGGTACCATCACGCTGCATTTTTTGCACATTCTCTTGGGTGTCTAAACCCGAAAACCTTAAGCTTGCGCAAATGCTCGCACTCTTAACCTCCGCTGATCTCCCTCAATGCTGCACTCCCAGTTTAGCAATATGACGAAACAGCCCAGGTCTAAATCGTCTCTACACTCAATTATAAGACATGACCTCCTCTAGCCCCCAAACGACAGCCCTGAATAGGCTCTCAAGCCCCGTATAAGGAAGCGAGCATCAGGTTCAGGAGGTAGGGAGGTGGGCACCTCGTCACACAATCCCGCTGCTTCTTTCAATAATGGAGCACCAAGCGAGCATGTAAATGGAAACTGGGGTCTACACCTGGGTTTTGTATGGAATTCTAATGAGGCGGGCCTCAAGAATCAGAACTGGACATCTCCGCGTATCATACTATACTTTACTATGCCATACTATACAATAAATTGCGGATTATAAGGGAAGAATCTGGATTTATGCAGGCTTCAGCATTAACAAGTGTCTCTTGAAAGCAACCAAGGGGTGAGGATGTGGGGAGACGTGCGAAAAAGCGGATATCCTTTGTGGCTGTGTCCTGGTTTAGGGCTCAGGGCTAGGGTTGGAAGCTGGGGTTTAGGTTGAGGGTTTAGGGTGACATCAGATCCTTAGGCTGCAAGTGTGGGAAACATTCATTTTCCGTGGGGTTCTCACCCTATCAAAGGACTGCTTAGATCAACGTAGCAAAGGAGAAGGCGACCGTACAGGATCCCTATGCTCCTGATTCATATGAGCTATAGTCTAAGCTCTTAGTAGCCCCATTCATAACCCCTGTAATACTCCCCTATATAATCCTCTATCTATATAACCCTCTTTAAGGAGCTTAGACTATAGCTCATATTTCCTTCTACCTGCGTAGCGATATCTTGTTGTTCGGGATTTTGGCCTCGGGAAGTTGGAGGGCAATCGGGAAGCTCGCAACGGAGCTTGCGGCTTGCAATGGGAAATCTGTAGGCCCACTGCTGGGTTGCTGTTAAGGAATGTAAAATAAATGGCCATAATATGGGTATATTGTAGATAAAAAGGTTTCCCCATATGGTAGATAATAAGAATTCCCTTGTATAGGAATTAAATTTCAGTCGTAGGCGGCCAGGGCTCCCTTGCGTGGAATTCTACTCGGGCTGCTTTAAGATGCATATTTGGGATTTCCCAAAACTAGGGGGTACCTTTATGGGGTTCCCTATAAGAATGAGGACTGTAAGACTTTGCGGTCTATATTGGGGTCCCTATTTTCCGGAGTTCCTATGAGTATCTGCAGGTAGACCAGCGATAACTAATCTCATCAGGAGCATGCCAAGATGTTACACTTACCACGAGTCCTGCTACTACCCATTGCTACCACCAGTTCATTACAGCCAAGGCAATGCAAGCATGATGGCGTTGCCATCGGCCAAAAAACCATGAGACTTTCATACATGCTCAACACCTCCATATACAGGGACAGCAACAGGGATCCAACCCCTCGGTCTAAACCTGAAGAAACTCAAGCCCCTGAACCCCAAACCCTGAACCCTGCACCCGAAATCTCAAATCCCTCAGCCCTTCCCTCCATAAAGCCTCACTGCTAACAGTAAGAGCCAAAGAACAGCTTCCATGGCTGCGTGTCGCCGAAGCGGAACCTCAGATCGCTACAAGAGAAGTAATTATACGGGGGTATGGAAGCGCTACTATAGGCCTCCATTCCCTCCCCTTCCTACTATAAGCACTAGCTCACTCTAGCTGGAAGAGGACCTTGCGCTTGGGCGTGGAGATGAGGGCTTAGGATTAAGCGGCGCCATCAGGATTTAGCTTCTTGGGTGGGCTAGCGTTCCTACATTCTGAACTACTACCGAGCTTCAAGCCGGCAAGGCGCTGATGAACAAACGTTTGCTCAAAGCAGTAAACAGCCTTGCAGAAAAGCACGACAACTAACGGGATTACCACGTTTGGGCTAAACTAGGCGACATATTTCGAGCTTCCTGTCTTTCAGACTTTAGCCACCTTGGGGTGACAATGCGCCCTTGCTAGGCTTTCCTGTGCCCTGTATGCGAGCTGGTCCCTTGCCGGGACAGCAATGCGGCGTGACTGTCACGTGAAATTGGTGCGTGAGACAGGGACAGATCCAACATTGTAGCTGCATCTTCCTTGTCCAGCTTTACAATGTTAAGCATGGGAAGTTGTATCCCGCAGTACCCCTCAAAACGCTTGCATTTGGCTCAGTCCGCAGAAGCAGACATGCCTGGCGTTGCTTACTGGTGGCCAGAAGGGGACGGAGGAGCCATCCCAAATGGTAGTCCCTATATATGATCCCTACTAGTCTGTAATCCCCCTAAACCTATAATGAAATACGTAATCATCCTACTAGTTCCTTAGGACTATGCTACAATAAGAATGAAACATGGCTCCTAAGGAGACTTCAGTAATGTAGTCGCTTCCAAGCTCTTTTCCATTCCTTCATGTCCCCCATTTAAGTTGCATTCTTGTACTCGGCAGGCTCTGCACCAGCTGGGATCTTGCAAAGACCGGGACTCAGAAGGATGGGCCTGGTATTTTGGTCATCTCACCAGCAGATGCCGCTACACCCTGAACCTGAACCCCCCCTTTTGGGTTGCAAGAATGTCAAGGGCACCCCCTTCGTGCCCCGTCAGGCTCCACAAGCAGTCATCGCTCAATCCTTCACAGTAGTGCTCCAAGCAGCTGGTACAAGTGGATCATCATGAACGTGAGCAGAGTGATGCCGGACATCGCCAAGTTCATCTTTCCCGAGGCGATCTGAGAGTTGTATTTTTTGGTTTGGAGGATCCGGGATTCAAGGTTAAGGGTTTATCATGCCATCTAGGAGCAGGGACCTCCTTGCGTTGAAATTGAAAGTATTCAGGAATTTGGCGTGTTCTATCACTTGTTTGTGGCAGAGCCACATAAGCATCTGCCTGTATTTTCATAAATGGAGCTGCGGAAACGTGCCATCTTTCTTCGACTTCGGGAGTACCTACATAGAACTACGCATGGCTTCTGTAGTAGGAACTCAGCTTATGGTTTGGGCACGCACTCCTATTCTGGGTACTTGGGACCTTTTTGGGACTTGTGTTTGTCCACAGCAGTCGCCACCTTTATGGACCCGGAAAATTTGGAAGTCGACATCATGCCGCTCTTATTGCAACTGCGCTATTCAAGCCATACTGACAAGGAGGTTCTCTGCTTTCATCAGTCTGAGAATTTCTTCCAAAAACCTACAACCTCCAACCATAAACTCTAAAACCTCAACCCCTAAACCCTGAACTCTAAACCCCACACTATAATCCCTAATCAGGCCGGCCCTGCCATCATCTCCCCATGATCCCCACAAAGCCCTAGGGGCCTAAGGGCAGGCAAGAGGCTGAGTAGCTCATGCTGACATCCCAGGTCCTCAAGAGGTTTAGGGTTTAGGATTTAAGGTTTTGGGTTCAGGATTTAGGGCTTGGGGATTACAAGTTCAACTGCTACCTTGGTATGTCAGTTGAGGGCAGTTGGACTGCTTTTCAAAGGTCCTGGAATTCGAGGGCGCCGTCTGCAACATCTTGGGGCGAAACAGCTCCCTAAACCCGGTGCATGCTAAAGCCTAAACCCTGGCCCTAAGCCCTAGCTTCTGAGAAGCACTACTTAGAAGCAAATGATGGATGCTCAAAAAAACCACGGCTCCTCCTCAAGGCTACGAAGACGTGGAGCAGGGCTGCGAGCAAGATGTACTCCTGTTTAGGTATGGGGTGTAGGGACTGGGTTTTAGGGACATGGAGTTTAGGGTTCAAGGCTTCAGGACTTAGGGCATGGCCAAGGACCCAACTAATAGAGTTTTAGGGCCCAAATACCATTAATATTATAGTATTTGGGCCCTACAACCCTATTATTTGGGTCCTATATACCGCTATGTAGTCCCCATTTATACCCTATAACCCCTTTGTAAGGGGGCCCTATTAGCCCTATTATTTGGTGTTCGGGGATTGTTGCCGGGTTCTGTAGGGCCAAAGCAGGGCCTGGGTTGGTCGAGGGTTACTTCCAGATTTTCTGGGGTTACGGCGCCGTTGTGCACCATATTCATTGATGTTCTAATTCAAAATTCTTAGGGTGTGTGATTTTGGGGCAAGTAGGGGACAGGAATGTGAGGTTTCACCGTGGGAGAAATTGACAAGGTTTTTGCATTGCGGGTTTCGTGCTTCGCAAGCCACAATTTCTCTGTTCTTGTCTGTTTAGGGTTAAGGGTTTGGGGGCACCCTTAAGTCTCAAAACAACTGGGTGCTTTTGGACCATCAGGATCACTGGACTCTACTGAGATCCATGATTGGCAGGCTTCCCTCACACAAGGTTTGAAGAAGGCTTGCTTTGGAAAACTCTTCTGTTCTACCCCTCAAGAATTCGGATCGTCGTATGGAATACCAGATCGCCGTATGTGCTTCTTGTGAATACTGTCTTGTTTCGGCGGCTAGTCGTTGAACGTTGGTGAATGCATCGTGGCCTCTACGAGTTCGGGGGTTGAACAAGACATTACCATGGTTGGAGAGCAGAGTTGCATTTTCAGGCAAAGGCACTGAAAGGAAAAGAAGACGGGCGTCAACCGCTGCAATTAACTATGCAGTTCTGAAAGTTGGCTAAAAGGTTCAAACCATTAAAACCTCCAAGTCTAGGTGCGGAAGTAAGTTGATCATGTTGGGAGTAGGATGGACCAACATGCCCTTGACATGCACTGCAAGTAATTCCTGAAGCCTTGGACAGCCTGAAAGTAGAGGTGCAGTAAACTCTTCCAGAAGATTCCTCTTGCCAAGCTCTTCCAAAGACTTCCTCATACAAGATGCGTCGTAATGTAGACCCCTAATCAAGAAACCCCCTCCCCTTAATAGTGATTACAATGGGGATCCTAATATTCAGGCTCTGAAAAAGAGGGGCTTTAGTCATCATGGGTCTACATTATGAATCTTTCAGACTCAGTTCCCGCTGCTGCACTGGCAGGGCCATGCATTGTAACATAGTAAAAATTGCATGTAGCTGCAAACATGGCGGGGGCCTGTGCTGCCCACATGTCTGCAAAGTATCGGTCCCCTCTCTTCAAAAAGCAGGTCTTACCAAACACGTCTTACCCTACATCCCCCCCAGCTCACAAACGCCTGAACTGAAACCTTGGCACAAACCCTACTCCTAAAACCCTAAACCTCGTACTAGGTATCCTCTACTGTTGGGACCGCATCAATGAAGAGGCTCTCTTTAACATATCTCGATAGCCGCTTAAAGAGCTCCAGTAGTCCAATGCTAGAAGGCCCTTTCTACCCTGTATCGGCTTCGAGGTCCCAAGAGCGTGACCAGATCATCCCTTTCAATCCCATTCCCAGAGCCCTCAGATGAACGCAGGTCCCTCTCCCATTGCGGGCACATGTGCATCATATACACACACTGAAACATCTTCCAAAAGAACCCTACATGAGCCATAATCTAAACTCCTAGAATCCCCCTTAATGTCCCCTATAGTCCCCTATATAATCCCCTATATAACCCCCCTTTAAGGAGTTTAGACTATACCTCACATGCCCTCACCCGGATCTTACCAACAAAAATCTGCGAGCCTCGACGATGTTTGCCTGGAAGCCGAACCCCGTCCAATACAGTCCTTGCTTGCAGATTGTCAGGGTATATACTGGGGTATAGAATAGGATAGATAGATAGAAAAATATATGTCTTAGGGTTATATTGGGAATAGGTATATAATAGGATAGTAGATAGATAGAAAAAATGTATATCTTAGGGTTATATTGGGAATAATGGAAAATGAAGTGGAAACTGCTATGATGGGGTTTGGAGGATTCAGGTTTAGGGGTAGGGATCGGGGTTAAGGCTTGCGGCTGAGGGGTGAAGCTTTAGGTGTTGGGTGCTCTTCTGGGGCGTATGTCTGGGCGTCAGTGGCTAGGGTTCGGTTGGTGTTGGATTGGGAGGGATCAGCTTTGAGGTTGCTTTTCGGATCTCGATTCCTCTCCTAGTGATTGCGGGGCGGGACTCTGGGACAGGAGTCTGGACGTTGGAGTTGAGCTGGCTGAGCGCGGCCTGTATATCTGCGAAGGTCGCTATCTGTCAGGATTCAGGGAAATAGTGACGAACGGTCCAAGTCAGCCCCAGATGTTGATACTACATCAGGGATTTCAACTGGACTTTTACAGGAGGTCTGCAAATTTCCGGAGGCTGCTGAATCGTTCCTTCATATCATAAGTAATCTGACAGTTGTGTTTGCATGATTGCAACGTCTGACACCACGGCTGCATGGTGACAGTGATGCTGAAGCTTAGCTCTACACTCGGGTGGAGGCTTCCAAGAATGAGAATTCCATGTTGCTTTAAGCCTCATGTCTTACTAGTTCTTATAAGAGGGACCCCAATTATTTCAACACCTTCAAGTACCATCAGCTTATGCGAGGGTCGCACGTAGAAGTAGCCGTAGCCGTTGAAGTCATCAGGGCCTGCAATCACATCACACCACGCCCAGGAAACCAAACCCGTGAGCATAAACGCCACACATGATCCAGGGGCTTGAGGGGGACACTGGCTTAGATGGGCGAATAGAATTTGCTCTAATGTCGATCAATAAACCCCCTCCGTTTAAGGGCCTTAAGATTAGGATCCCCATTATAGTCCCTATGAAGGGAAGGAGGTTTATTAATCAGGGGCCTGGGTTAAGCCTGGTAAACGCAGCGGTTTGCGGCGCTCTACAGCGGAAGCTTCCACAAGGGCGTAGTCCCTCACGCGCTTTGTCGCTTGCTTCTTTTCTTGGGAGGGGGCAAGCTTGAGAAACCCCGTGATTGCATTACCCTGACCCTGCAAGCTTCAGGTACTGCACGGCAACAGGCAGCACCACTCCCTTCCATGTAGCCGCCCGCCCAAGCTTAGCTGAAGAAATATGTGCTTGAGGAGCTGGATTTTTTAGTATTCCGTCTACAACTCCCGACCAGAGTTTTGTGTTAAGTAAAACCGCCGCAGCAGGTACTTCCAAAATGTGCTTCGCCTGATTCCTTTCTAGCAACGAATTGGCTCTTGAAAAAGGGGGCACCTGATTGACCCGAGGGATAATGGTTGTCATTCTCAAAATGAGTAGGTGATCCTTTAAAGAGACTACCAAATTTGAGGGCTCCAAGAGGTGCCCCAAATCTGATTAAGCAAGGCTCGTAGAATATGCTCAGATGCCTGGGAGTTCCCTTCAAAGGCACAACAAACGCAAGATCCTTCAATTCTACAGCCGATGCCTAGGAACACATGGAGGTTGCCCACGGCGTGGATGATGATGAAGATGAAGAGGAACCTCATGTCGCCCCGTTTCTCTTCAAAGATATCAACAGACACTTTGGCAGCGGAGGCAGTTGAAGCATTAGAAAGCGCCTGACCGGCTAACATAAAGGAAATCACGATGGGGCCCTCACAGAAAGCTGGAAAAGCATGGGAATATCCTCACCCCTAAGCTGAAGCCCCAAACGCTGATTCCCTCGAAAGCTTACAGTGCTTTCTGGCATGGTACATCACTTCCGTCGAGCCTTCAGCTCATTTTACTGCCACCAAGCAGTGTTTCTCTTTCTTCTCTCTCTCTCCTGAGGACTCGCATGCCCATAGACCCTAGACCCCAAACCCTGCCAGGACTTCATTAGATAGTAGGCATTTTCTTTTCCATTATCCATATATATTCCCTGTATAACCCCTACATAACCTCCTTATATACCCTATATTATCCCTCCATTTACCCCCGGAAGGCCAGGTCTTTGGAGGCTCATCCTGTTTCGCCACGGGGCATGGCCGAACGGGTGAGACCCACGCGGTCACCGGTGATGATCACGTTGTCTTAGTTCAGGTAGATTATGGTATAATATGGTATATTATAATATATCAATATAACATAATATATTATATAGGGCCTATATAGGGTATATAAGGGGTTGGGCAGGGGCGGCACAGGCTAGGGTTGAGGGTGAACGGCCTTTCGGATTTACAGCCTAGGAGATTGGGGATTTGGGCCCACGACTGAAGGATTCTACAAAGAGGCCACGGCTGAAGGGTCTAGGAACGCGGAATGTAGAAGTTGGAATCGAAAGCTTCAAGACTGTCCTCCGGTAGCTATGAGAACCCAAAACTTTCGTCTTGCGACATCGAGGACTCTGAAGCAGTTGCACTGTGCTCCCACTTCCCATCTCCATCCTACACAGAGGATAGATGAACGAAGCCAGAGCTGAACAAAACACAGGATGAGGCTCGGATGAGGCCTACCTGGACCATGGATGTCCTGAACTTTACGGCTTAAGGCTTACAAGTAGGACAGAACCCAGGTCAGGGTCTAGATAAACCCTTTCAACACTAAACCGTTCCTGCAGCCACCCTACTCTGGGGAACGATGGTGAAGAGGATCTCCTTCATGAAGCCAAGCACCTGAGAAACAACCCATCACCATGCGTCTGCAGGGCCCACAGTCACAAAGTGCCAAAGGTCTAGCTCCAAACATTCGATCCTTTTCTTTGTTCTCCTTATAACTAGGTGCCGCCATAATAGTATTTGTGCACCCACAACCAAGAAGCTTGCTCTGTTGGGGCCCCTGCTGCGGGACCAGGAAGTCATTCTTAAGAGCAGGCATGCTAAAACTCCAGGCACCCAAGTTCTAGGAGATAAACGCAGCTACCGACATCCCCTTAAGGGGATCCCAAACCCTGCGCTCTCCAAACATTCTTCCCTGTTTAGCCCACGGGACGAAGTGACATCCCCTTCTTGGATGCTTAGGGGGCTCTGGCATATGAGCCATAGTCTAAACTCCTAGAATCCCCTGAATAACCCCTTCTAATAGTCGCCCATTGAATCCTCTATATAACCCCCTTTAAGGAGTCTAGACTATAGCTCATATAGGCTGCAAGGTGCCAACAGTTTGTTTGAGACACTTCTTCTTCATGACATGATCACTCTAGAGGGTTAGAGAAGGCAGAATGCTCTGTTCAAAGGGCTCTGAGCAGCGGCTCTTTAAGGCCATTCTGCGGGGTTCGCTGCGCGGTGTGTTCACTTCTCATGCCTCCTAAGGCCCGGCAAACTCTGCGATAAATAGGTAAATATTGACTCACAACGGCTAAATACAGTAAATGCTGGGAAAGAGATGTTATCCTATAGTTCAAAATATGGCATATCCGAGTCACCATGTAGCAAATGGCTCCGATCCAGCCGGGAATCTTGCCTTCGCCTGATGATTTTCAGACTTCAGGCGCTGTCTTCGGATTTAGGAACAACATCCCTGAGAAGCAGTTGGATGATGGCTTTTGAAAGTACATTGACATCTCCATTTCAGCGTCCTTGTGTAAGACTCCTCTTCTTTGACGAGTATAAGGTACTATAAGATTAAGCTCGAGGATGTTCGGGAAAACCTACAGTCCACCCCCTTGAACCCCTTCCCTGCCAGAAGACTGAAGTTCTCGCGATCCCTGCCTCATGCGATAAACGTCCCATCGTACAACCACTGTGAAATACTTTGAAGAACGTCGCCCCCCAAACCCTAAACTGCCGGGAAAAGTCAGGGAGCAACGCAGAAACATACCCTAGGGTTTGGAACTTTTTGCTCAAACAAAAAAATTCTCTGGTAACGGGTAGTCTCCCAAAACAAGTCTTGTGTGCTAGCACGAGGCATCCCTGTAATATCCTTTCTGGTATCCATTCTTCCCTGTGTCGCCTGGGTACTCCGTTCTGAGAGACATGTAGTCCCTGCACACTAAAAACACCATCTTCAGAAACGCTAAACCCTATAATCCCTGCAGTTCCCGTTTTCATTTCCATTATCCCTATATTATCCCTATCATTTCCATGTTCTCTTCCATTCTCCCTATAAGCCCCAATCTGGCTCCCAAAACCACCTGTTTGGGAGAGCCCGCCCCATGAAGAACTATCAGCAGCTCAGGTGCCCTTCATGCGCAGCTCACGGTTCTTCTCGGACTTGGACCAGTTCTTTCCCTTCAGGCAGTTGGTGGCTCCGGGAAGGCTTAGGACAAGGCTCCCCGAACATAGGGAGTCTTAAGACATATAGAAATCATGAGAGTTGCGTTTTGTTGGTAGTTGAACCCAGTAAGATGTATTTAGATAAAATGCTATACCCAAAGAAGGATATAATCTTACTCTATTGGGCACCATAGTATCCCCAAATAAAATACACTACTCGACAATGAGCGGATCCTACTCAAGATGTACATGTTCTTTCTGTAGAGACGCACTGATCCAAACAGTCCAAGCCGTTGCAAATCCATCTCAGTCAGCCCAAGATCCAATCCCTGGCATGCGAACGACCCAAACCCAACCAACCCTTCCAGCTTCTTCCTCAACCCTAAATTAGGACCAACTACAGGAGGGGAGCTTCCAATGGGGCGACTTGGTATAAAAGGGATATATAAGGCCAATGGGGAGTTACATATTTGGTAATTCCCAAAATACGGGCACTCCAATATGAACCCCAGTATTCTATTCTCCTTATCATGGGGACTTCCTGTGGTACCCCTAATTTTGGGAAACTCCCATTCGGTATATAAGGGCTTTGTAAGGTCCCTACATGGTAAGTCCCTGGACCAAAACCCTCACAACTCGCAGCTCCGCGGCCAAAACTGCGGGGTTTAGGGTTTAGGGAGCCTTTCCTATGTGCAACCAACCGGCGTCCTATGCCCCCAACCCAAAACCTTCTACCCTAAACCCCACACGCCATAAACCCGCAACCCTTTAAAACCGTATAAACCCTTTAAATTGTATGAACCCTAAACCCTTGAGACCCTATAGACCCTAAACCCTTTAGACCCTATAAACCCTAAACACTTAAGTCCCCTAAACCCTAAACCTTTAAACCCTGTACTCGGCCCTATACACCCTAGCCCCTCCCAAAAGTTCCCGTAAGGGTCCAAGGACCCAAACAGTAGAGTTTTAGGGCCAAATACCATTAATATTGTAGTATTTGGGCCCTAACACCCGATTATTTGGGTCCTATATACCCCTATGTAGTCCCCATTTATACCCCCTATGACCCCTTTTTAAGGGGGCCCTATTATTTAGGGTTCCCTTGCTCCAGGCCTCCTTCGCCAGGAGAGGCGCCGCTAGGCCGCCGCCGCCGCTTGCGGGCTCCGCAGCAGGCGCACCTGAGCCCACCTGGCATAGTAGAGATGATATGGGTGGTTTTGGGTTTTAGGGTTTAAGGTTTAGGGTTTAGGGACTAAGGTTTACGGTTTAGGGTTCGGGATTTAGGGATGATTTAGGAGAGGACCCCCCACCCTGTAATGGTAACTATAAGGGATTTTTAAGGATTATAGTAGGGTCCTATTCCTATTATATGCCACTATTACAGGGAGGGGGGTCCTCCTAAGGGATGATATGGGTCGGTTTGGGTTTTAGGGTTTAGGGTGTAGGGACTAGGGTTTAGGGTTCAGGATTTAGGCATTGGGGTTTAAGGTTTAGGGGTTTAGGGTTATTGAGTTTCTGGCTCTGATGGATTAGGGTCCAAGTTTAGATGTCAAAGGTTTCAGGTGCTGAGACTCAGGCTCGGGGGCAACCCTGAGCCCTAAAAATCAGTCTGCGCGGACTTGTTGCAGGGGCCCAAGAATCCCAGCACTTCCACTAAATGGTAGGCTACCGGCCTATGCAACGCGGTTTAGGGTGTGAGCAGGTAACTGGAGCCCTGGAGAATGAGAACACCATTCGGGGGTCCGCTATTGTATAACTAGATCCGGTTAGTACAGAACAATCTTGGAATTCTTGAGGCTTCCTCAGTATTCATGCTCCCCGCAGATGATCCCCAGCATTGCTTTTGGCCTATCATTTGGGCTTGCATGTGCTTAATCTGGCCAGCGGTAGTGACGTTAACAGCATCCCTGCCTAGGGTCTCAGAGGCATGCACTTACTGCTGGCTAGTAGGGAATTAATTAAGGAATGAATCCACCTATGCCCTATACACTCCCCAGCACCAATAGAATAGCCAAACCTCAAACAAGTGAGCCCTAAACCTTAAACCATTGTTCGATGCAAGGTCCACCTTGCCGATGACAGAGTCGGGCGCATACTTGCCGATCACATCAGGCGGGTGGATCCTTAGTACGGGGCCGAAGCAGTGCTGTGGAGATTTCAAGATGTCCCCGTAATCAGGATTTTCATATTTTCCGGCCTATTCTGGGGCCACTATATTTGGAAACCAGCATGTCAGAATTTCCAGAAAAGGTATCCCTTTTTTAGGCCTACTTGATTTGAGCCACTAGAAGTCCCTCTGCGAGCCCTAAACAGCTCCTTCCCCCACTCCAGGCAAGACACTGCACCCATCGAAACAATAATAATAGCAAAAATAGTAACAATAGTAACACTAGTAAAATTACGAATAGTAACAGCAATAGTAATAATAGTAACAATACTAGTTGTAACCAAAATCAAGTTATTAAAACAAAAAACGAGTAACAACTGTCTCCTTCCTCAGATGGGGGGGTGTTCAAAAAATACTAGAGGATCCTTCAGGATCTTAGTATGTTTGGTCTAGATTGCTGCCCTAGCTGAATTCAAGCTATAGCCGGTCAGGACACGAACTGGCTCTAAGCTCTGACACCCGTATGTAGGACGTGGCCTACATGATTGCTCCCCAAATGGAGGAACATCAGGTTTCGGCTTTAAGCTTCCCCAACTGGGAAATGTGTGTAAGGACCGGTATTCTAATGGAAACCCCAATACAGGGACCTGCATATGATAATTCTAGGGAAATGCCCATGCGCCAAGCATCATGTTGAACTCCTCTGTGGCATCCTTGCCTGCAATCATATACCGTTCCTTTTGAGGAGGTTGCTCCGCATTGTTTCTTTTAAGCTGGTGTTGGTTTTGTGTCAAAATGGAGATTCCAAAATGGTAGCCGAAAATGACCCAAATTGCCAAAGTAAAGGATGTGAGTGCTTGGAGCGGCAAGTTCGAGTTGTCGCAAGACTGAAGATTGAAGATCCCTTTCGGCGGACGACTTTTCAGGCCTAAACCCCAAAGCATTGGAGGTTCACGGGATCATTGGGAATCCTATTTATAGTCAGGGTAGCCCATAAGCTCAGGTAGCAGTACCATCCGTAAGAGTACAACCCCACATGTGCCTAGTTGGTAAGCCCCATGCATCCTCAACCCAAAAACTGGGTTGCTGTCAAGGAACTTAAATTAAGTTACTGTATAGGGGAAACCCTATTATTCAGCATATATATATATTATACACACCATTATGGTAGCTTAATTTAAGTTCCCTAACAGCAACCCCAAACCCCTGGGACTACGGAATGCAGACCCTAAACCCTAAACCCCAAACCCCAAAAACCCAAAGCCCTAAACCCCAAACCCCTAAACCCTAGACCCCTAAACCCTAAACCCCAAAACCCCTAACCCCTAAACCCCAAAACCCTATACCCCCAAACCCTAAAAGACCTGCCTGCAAAAGTGAGGATGGCAAGCTCGCCGCCAGGGTGCTCCGAGAGGAAGGACGTCACATCCAACACCTGGCAGCTCTGGGAGGAACCTAGGTCTTTAGGGCTTTAGGGTTTTAGGGCTTTAGGTTTTTAAGGCTTAGGGCTTTAGGGTTAAGGGTTTTTAGGGCTTAGCAAGGGTTAAGGGTTAAGGGCTTATAGAGAGGAACCTAGGGGTTCTTTGCAAAACTTTGTGCAGGCTCCTGTCCGCTGGGGAACAAGATGGCAGAATGATCGTGGCGGCAACATACATAGAAACTGATTGACAACCGAAACTGCCCGATGATTTTGACACCAGGGCACTAATTTCTCGAGCTCCATTGAACCCTCGAAATGTAATGTGGACAGCTACTTGAACTCTGGGGGCAAGAAAGGCTAAAACTTCAGCACCCTAATGCCAGTGGGCCCGCAAGATGGGGGGTCCTGACCCCTGATATCATAAACTAGCCAAACTATGATGAGTCCAAATCGAGGTTTATCTAAAATATCAACTACGGAGAGGTCTGGTGAGGTCGTAATGCTTTGGCCGATATACAGCAGCCCTAAAGAGTTTACGGTCTAGGAATTTAGGTCTTAGGGTTTACTTACCGACTAGCCCAAACCCTGTCTGAAAGACGGTTGCTGTTGAGGATCTTAAAATAAGCTGCTATAAGAGGTAAGCCCTTGCATTTACTTTGTACCCAGGATATGGTAACTTAATTGAAATTCCTTAGTAGCAACCCAGAAATGGCAAGGCACCTGACCATCCACGACCACCTGCAGCTGAAAATGCTGAAGTGAGGGTGTAAGGGGCTCAGAATTCTGACTTCCTAGCGCTTTAGTAGGGGATATGGGAATATATATATATAATACAGGGATCATATTCCCTTATTCCCTACTCAGAAGTCGTCAGATAAATGGGTTGGCGTTCTAGCTTCTAGGGCAGAGGATTTTCAGGATGGCTTAGGGTGAAGCAACAGATCAGCTGGAGCTTCCCAGCGTGACTTCCACAGCTGCAGAAATCACAAACCAGGACCCTCCCTGAACCCTTAAATCAGGGCATATGGTCCCTAAAAGTGGGGATTCAGGGTATAAAGAAGGTAGATGGAGGGTCTAGGAATCCAATGCTGCAAGTGCGCCGTGGTATGTTTCAAACCCTTGGGCTTTTTGAGATATACTCTCCCCTGACCACGGGACCCCAACGCAAGATCCCTACAGAAAGGAAGTCTGTTTTTGCCCTCAAGAACTACTTCAGTCAAAGTGCTCCTTACCAAACAGGTTTGACGCTACAGTACTAGGGCAGTTCTGGACGAAAGTCTGGTGCATGAAACAGCGCTAGAAGGGACTGTACTCAAAACTTACAGCATGCAAGAATGAGAATCCGACATAAAGCCCCATGCAACCATGAAATAGAGATATGCCTCTGGCATCCAAAAATCTAAGGAGCGACCTCAAAGTCAAAATCTCCAAGCCTGAAATGTAGGATCGTAGTTCTTAAGAACAAATGGCTAGTATTTACTGTTATTACTTACTAGTATACTGATAGCATTTTCACTATTCAAGACTTTTACCAATGTGCATTCGCACGATCGGCTCCGAGAGCCAGGCCCAGCAATCGGTCTTGCTGTTGTGCTTGGCGACTTCCTGGTAACACGGGAAAGCACTGGTTGGAAACTACTATATTATATAGCGTTATGTAGGGGGGTTATATTGGGGTATAATGGAAAGAAAAATGGGAAACTATAGGGATGATAGTGATTTGTAGGAGCCTAAGCTCATGATTTTTTCATGCAAGCTATCCAACACCTCTTTTCCACAGGGCTGCGGTGTTTTCCAGGCTTTTGAATGTAGCTTTGCGAGCGCCCCTCGAACCCAATGATGTGGCAGGCAACGTACGCCGCTGAAGACCAAAGATTAGAGTACCCGCACCTTGACCATGATAATCAAGGGTTCCAGGGTTGTACCCCTAAGGTCTTACCCCGAAAAGGTTTTCCCAATATGGCCGTGATAGAGCCGTTATAGTCCCCTAGGGTCTCTTACATGGATCCCAAAACCCAGGGGTACAACCCTCCGGGTACAAGTCTGAAACCCTCGAGATAAGTAGTTCAAAACCCAACAACATAAGCAGCCGTGCCTCGGTCCCAAAATCGAGTGAATTCCAAATTCCTACGGCCTACATGCTCATCCCCGGACCCTGCATGAGGGTTCGATTGTTCAGGGACTCTACCCTAAACCCTAAACCCCTAAACCCTAAACCCTAAACCCCTAAACCCTAAACCCTAAGGGACTCTACTTCTAGGGATTGTATAGGAAGCGGTTCGAGAAACCCCTGGATCGTACTCTGAGTGGCTGCCAGGGTGATGCCGCCCCCACCGCCGCCGCCACCTCAAACAGCTTCACGAAGGAGGAGTCCCTGACCCTCAAAGGGCTTTGAGTTTATAGTCCCCTCCTTTAAGTAGATAGAATATGGAGTTGCCCAATGTCATGATATGATCCCCATACACCCTACATTCTACTTAAAAAGGATTATGGGGTTCAGGGGGCGTTAGGTGTGGGCCATGATCTTTGTAAGCCCGAATATGCCAAACGTAGCCATAAAGCCGACGACGTTCAAGTCAGGAATCTATCTCCAGCGACATGTTCACATCGGGTCAGGATTTCAGTCTGATTTAAGCTATGCCCTTTCTTGAAATATTGTTGGGAAAGCGATGTAATCGACAACTTATGTCAAGTGATGCACAAGCCAGAGTGAGTGCAGAAACCATTGCAAAACTAATGGCCGATGAGGGTGAGCACGCAATCCACAACAAACCTTAAAAAGTTCAGAGGCCCCTCTTGTTCTGACAACCCCAGATTCACACATCATACCCGCAGAAATCTTCAATGCCCTAAGAATAAACCTAAACGCAAGCCCCACAGCCTTAAGCCCTGAACCCCAACTCCCCAAACCCTAAACCCCAATATAACCCCAATATAGTATAGTAGTCTCCATTTCCTTTTTCAGTATCCCAGTAAAGCCCTATCAAATCCCGATATATCCCCAATAAAATGTAATAGTTTCCATGTATTTCCAAATATAAACCCCAATATAGCCCCAATATAATGTTGTAGTTTCTGTTTTATTTTCCATTCTTGAAGCCCCAGAGACGGATCAAAAACCCTGCGAAGGCCTCCAGCGGCTGCCACGGCACCGCCGCCGCCGCCTCCGCCGGCACCGATCCTATGTCGGCTTCCCAAAATGTGCAAGGTAAGGGTTACAGTCACCCTTAAGTAGGTAGAATATGGGATATATGGGAATTATAATATACCCAAAGCTGTAGGCTATAGTCTATCTACTTAAGGAGGGGGCTATAGGGGGTGTAGGGGGTGTAAAGTTGTGGCTTGTAAGGTCCTAAAGGCTAACCTTATTTGAAGGCATCCTTCAGCCTATTTTGGGGATCCTTATCGGGAAGTGGAAGGGGCTAAATGATTAGGTTTAGGGTTTATGGTTTTTATTAACATTGAGTAGACTGACCGGGAAGGATAACCGCATCTAACTCAGAGGGGATTATGGCTCTAGATAGCCTAGGTTCTGGCCGCACACTCGCCGTAAGCTTCCTCAATACAAGCAAGCAGTTCATCCTGAAATCTAAGCCCCTACGTCCTACACCCTAGGCCTAAACTGGTCTAGGATCATGCCCACCACAGAATCGGGCGCGTACTTGCCGATCACATCTGGCGGGTGGATCCTGAGGTGACACAGACAGGAGAGATGTCCAAGCATTCGTTTAGTGTTTAGGATTTAGGGTAAGACGCACGGACCTGTACCTGTGGCCACAGATTAGATACTGCGGTACCCGATGCGCTTGTTATTGAAATGTGAGCGGCAATCCCAACTAGCAACTAGTAGTTCTGCAGGTACCGGACATTATGGGATTCCATTTGCGATCATTCTAAGCTTACGCAAGAAACCATATTCCACCGGTAATCTTCGTTTGATAGCAGAAGAACTAACCATCTTTTATGTGGGCCGCTCCAGGTGACGCAGGCTCATTCCGGCAGATGATCCACATGGACGTGTTGTTGACACTGTTGTCCCTTATAAGCATCCTGAACATCAGTCCGGGAACCACATCATAAAGGTCACGATCCAGATTTCTGCGGGGCTTGACCGTAAATCCTAAACCCTGATCCTTATACCTGTCCTTATGACCCATTCCTTCATTCCCTACCGCCAGTAAGCTTGTGGTCTACGGACTGCACGTACCTACTTGCCTTGTACACGGCAGCTCACGAGCATCATGTGGAAGCTTCCGTTCAGTAAATGGGGGGCCCAATCTAGACCAAACATACGACAGTTACTATAGTCATTGCCATAGTGACTCCTACAACGGGATCCCCATTTTTCGAAAACCCCGTCTAAGGCGCGGGTTTGACATAAGGAAGAATGCTGCAGACACCCCAACTCACAACAATCATGAGAACGCCCTTCCGCGAGGCCCAAGAGACATGAGCTGGCCCAAGCAGTGTAGATGCGACTGTAGAAAGTCACAGTACGGTGAGCGCACTCAATAAGAAAGGGGCTGGAGGGGCTGGAGGTTGGCCCCTCCAACCCCTCCAGCCCTTCTGGCCTTGAGGTTTGCTTTGCGTTCGGTGTAAGAGCGATAAGGGCTGGAGGAGCTAAGCCCCTCCAGCTCAGCTGGGCCGAATTTCTTATCGCTCCCACCTTCAAACCAAACACAAAGCAAAAGGAAGCCTCCAGCTCCTCCAGCCCCTGCTTTGCGTTTGGTTTGAGGATGGGAAGAAATTCTGCTCAGCTGAGCTGGAGGGCTGGAGGGCTGGAGGGGCTGGAGGGGTGGACCTGCTGGAGGGGCAGGAGGGGCAGGGGCTGGTCAAAGTTTGGGTCGGGATCATATTGTAGAAATCTGTTCAGACTCTGAACCCAGCTTAAATTTCTTCTTTGCAGGGTGCCCCAATAAGAAGTTTCCAGGGTCTAATCTCATCTACGCCCGTTTCTTATCGAATGCATTGGCCGTAGCAGATCCTTCTTGGCAGAACCTCATTTGATGCCTGCCTCAATTTGAGCCAGGCTTCATGTTGAACTCTTCTGTGGCATCCTTTCCGGCAAAGGTGAGGATGGCCAACTCGCCACCCGGGTGCTCCGACAAGAAGCTAGTGACATCAAGCACCTGACCATCGACCACCACCCAGCAGTCTGTCTTGGTATTGTGCTTGGCCACATCTGCCAAGGTGATGCCACCGCCACCCCCGCCGCCACCGGCCGCGGGCGCCGCTGCTGCTGCGGCAGGTGCTGAGGAGTTCATCTTGTCCTCGTAGGAACCGCCGGCAAGCTTGGAGCTCTCGACGGCTCCAGTCAGCCCACCGCCAGTGATCTGCCGGAGGTCCACGTCCTTCATGTCTGCGCCCAACATGTACTTGGCAGCTGCCTTGCCAGCCACGCGGCCGAAGACCACGCAGTCCAGCAGGGAGTTACCGCCCAAGCGGTTGTTGCCGTGCACGCCGCCAGCCACCTCGCCTGC